ACCTATTTTGGTTATGTTGTAAGAAGGAACCATTCCCTGGAGAATGATGTCATGCTTGGTAGGGTAGAGGGTCAACGAAAGAGCGGGAGGCCTTCAACGAGATGGATTGACACGGTGGCTGCAATGATGGGCTCAAGTATAGCAGGGATTGTGGGGCTGGAGCGGGATCAGGCAATGTTTCGTTCTGCTGTGCATGGGGTCGCTATGAGTCGGAAACGACTCGACGGCACTTAACAACAACAACAACAAATGGCTAATGATTGTAAGCATTTCTTCATATGTTTGTTGGCCATCTGAATCCTGAATATGCTCTTTGGTGAAGTGTCTATTCATGTCTTCTGCCCATTTTTGAATTAGATTATTTGCCTTTTTGTTGTTGAGGTGCTGGAGTTTTCTATAAATTTTAGAGATAAGTCCCTTGTCAGATATGTTATTGCCAAATATTTTTTCCCAATGTGTAGGTTCTCTTTTGACTCTTCTGGAGAAGCCTTTGGAAGCACATAAAAGTTTAATTTTTAGAAGGTCCCATTCATCTAGTTTATCATCTGCTGTTTATGCATTTTGGATTATGCTTGATAGTCTATTTATGCCATATATTAGGGCCCCTAAATTTGCCCCTAGCTTTTTCCTTGAGGAACTTTATAGCTTTAGGTTTCACATTTAAGTCTTTGATCCATCTGGAGTTAGTTTTTGTGTATGGTGTGAAGTCCAGATATTGTTTCATTTTTCTGCAAATGGATGTCCAGTTTTGTCAGTACCATCTCTTCCTCATTTATTGGATTTCAGGCCTTTGGCAAAGATTAGCTGACCATAGGTCAATGAATTTATTTCTGGGTTCTCAATTCTATTCCATTGGTCTATGGTGTCTGTCATTGTACCAATACCAGGAAGTTTTGATTACTGTGGCTGTATACCACTCCTTGGAAGGAAAGTTAGGCAATCTACTTCTGTAATGATACTGCCTTGGAAACCCAAGGAGGGGTCACTATTAGTCAGATCTGACTCGATGGCAAACAACAACAACAACAACAACATACTAGGTTTTGAGATCCAGGAGTGTGAGACCTCCTACTTTATTCTTTTTCTTCAATAGTGCTTTGCTTATCTGAGGTCTCTTTCCTTTCCATGTAAAGTTAGTGATTGGTTTTTCCATATCCCTAAAGAATGTTGATGGGATCTGGACTGGGATTGCATTGAATGTACAGATTTCTTTGGGTAAAACTGACATTTTCATAATGTTCAATCTTCCTATCCGCAAGCAGGATATGCTTTTCTATTTATGTAGATCCCTTATGGTTTCTTGAAGTAATATTTTATAGTTTTCTTTGTACAGGTCTTTTGTGTCCCTGGTAAGATTTATTCCCAAGTATTTTATTTTATTTGGTAGCTATTGTAAATTGAAATTGATGTCCTTATTTCTTTTTCAGCAGTCTCTTTGTTGGTGTAGAGGAATCCAACTGATTTTTGGGTGTTGATCTTGTATCCTGCCACTATGCTAAATCTCTCAATTAGTTCCAATAGATTTTTTACTGAGTCTCTTGGGTTTTCTAGGTATAGGATCATATCATCAGCAAATAGGGATAATTTGGCTTCTTCCTTACCAATTTGGATGCCTTTGATTTCCCTTTCTTGCTTTATTGCCTTGGCTAGGACTTCCAATACAATGTTGAATAGAAGTGGTGATAGAAGTCATACTTGTCTGGTTCCTGTTCTCAAAGGGAATGGTTTCAGTCTCTCTCCATTGAGAATAATGTTGGCTGTTGGTTTTGCATAGATGCCCTTTATAATATTGAGGAATGTCCCATCTATTCCTATTTTGCTGAGAGTTTTGATCAGGAATGGGTATTGGATTTTATCAAATGCCTTTTCTACATCAATTGATATGATCATGTAGTTCTTTTTCTTTGCTTAATTTATGTAGTATATGACATTGATTGTTTTTCTAATGTTGAACTATCCTTGCATATCTGATATGAACCCCACTTGGTGATAATGAATTATTTTCTTGGTATGTTGTTGGAATCTATTGGCAAGGATTTTGTTGAAGATTTTTGCATCTATATTCATGAGGGATATTGGTCTGTAGTTTTCCTTCTGAGTGATGTCTTTACCTGGTTTTGGTATCGAGATTATGTTTACTTCATAAAATGAATTTGGGAGGATTCCATCCTGTTGTATGTTTTGGAATAGTGTGAGTAGGATTGGTGTCAGTTCTTCTCTGAATGTTTGGTCACCAGTTATTTTAAAGAGGGAATTTATTATTAAGAATTGTTAATTACATATAAAGAATCATTAACTGAAAAGAGAATAAGAGAAGTTTAAGATGACATAGTAACAACTGCAGGAAGCCATTCAAAGAAAAGAACAAAGGGTTGGAAATATTAAAAATTAGATGTTTTGGCCAACAAACACATGAAGAAATGTTCAAGATCATTAGCTATTAAAGAGATGCAAATCAAAACAACAATGAGATATCATTTCATCCCAGTAATAATATAAAATTCAAGAAGGCAGAAAATAACAAATGTTGGCAAGAATGTGGAGAGATTGCAACTCTCATATACTGTTGGTGGGACTGCTAAATGGCATGGCCACTGTGGAAAATGGTATGGCATTTCCTTAAAAAGTTGGAAATAGAAATACCATTTGATCCAGCAATTCCTCTACTAGGAATATACCCTAAAAATGTGGGATCCAGGACACAAATAGACATCTGCACACCCATGTTCATCACAGCACAATTCATTATAGCAAAGAGATGGAAACAACCTAGGTGCGCATCAACAGATGAATGGAGAACCAAATTATGGTACATTCACATAATGGAATACTATGCAACATTAAAGACCAATGAAGAATCTGCGAATCAGCTCATAACAGGGATGAACTTGGAGGACATTATACTGAGTGAAGGAGCTCTGGTAGCGTAGTGCTAAGGCACTTGACTGCTAACCAGAAGGCTGGCGGTTCAAACCCACCAGCCACTCCCCTGAAGGTTGGGCAATCTACTTCCATAGTGATACTGCCTTGGCAACCCAAGGAGGAGTTGCTATGAGTCGGGGCCAACTCAACGGCACATAACAACAACAACAACATAGTGAGTGAAATAAGTCAATCATAGAAGAACCAAACCAAAACCGAACCCATTGCTGTCAAGTCGTATCCAATTCCTGGTGACCCCCTCCTTGGGTTGCCGAGGCAGTATCACTACAGAAGTAGATTGCCCAACCTTCATATATATACATATACTCACTTAGACACTTAGAGGAAGAGCTCTCTGAGGAGATGGGGGTGTTATTATCTGAGCTCAGCTGGGACCTAGGCCTCTGAAGAGGTGGCTCTAGACAACTGACGCTGGTGTATCTGAGGGGGAGCAGTGAGGCTGGTTTTTTGTGCTGGAAACACTGCAAACTGGATTCAACTGTTGCTACTGAAATGAATTGTCACTGCTGAGGTGACACAGGAAAATGGAGCAGAAAAGAAGGAAGTAAAAGTCTTATTCTTTCTGCTCTAGCCTTGCAGTCCCCTCTGGCACCCTCGATTGGCAAAGTCAAACATGGACTCAGCAGGCACAGCAGAAATATGATCTGCATACTCCCAGTCATATCTGAAAGGAACAGATGCAAGGGTAGGTGTAAAGTTAAAAGAATAGCCAACCTGCTTCAATTCCTCAAGCCTGTTTTGAGAAAAGGAAGTCTTCAGTTAGAATGGCCTGTAACTTCTGAAGTTCAAGTCAACATCAGTGTCCAAAAACATAACCCAAAACATCAACTATGAGTACAATTGGTTTTATAAGAGTTAGCTACTACTTGTGCAAGAGACAATTACTAACCGGATCAGTTTTCTCTGAGATAGTAAATTTTATCTGCCCCATGCTGGAGGGACAAAGAGAAGAAGGTGGGGATCACCCACTGGAAACTAACATATTGGCAGGCTTACTTGGTGGGAAATGGACCCACAGAAGATCTGGCCACTGCCAGAGACATCACCTGAGGCTCAGAAGGAAGGGGAAAATACCCTTGTTTCTCCTTTGCTTTTACCTTCAATCTCCTGCCAGTACCTTCCATTGGCTAAAGCAGCCATAACCAGTTAATACAGAAGCCTGGGAAAGAGATTGCACATCATATGGCACTGAACAAGGGAAGGGCAGGGATGGAGCTAACGATATTCTCTAATAAACATTATTAAATCCTACTTTATTTGACCACTGAAATTTCTTGACCATCTGAAGCCAGTCTTACAGTGTTCCCTTCTTCAAGAAGTGCTCATGGCCTTAGAATGCTTCCATATATTCATTAATTATTCCTGCTTATCGTCACCGTGGTGGCTGCCCAACAGCAGGTAGAAGCCAACAATTTCACAGTGATTCCACTTTAAGCTAGAATTCTGCTTCCAAGGCCATCACTGTTGGGCTGCAGTGTCTCTGGAGCTAGAACCCTGCCACCCAAATGCTGGTGGAGTAAGAAGTTAGTGGCCTCCTGATGCCAGCAGAGCCGGTGAAGTGCCACCTTGCTTTAAAGACTGCATTACTTTTGTTTTTAACTCAATTTTTAGTAGGCCCCACAGCTAGGCTGGGTGAGTGCCAAAACGTTAAAGCACGGTGATAAAAGTTCATCCATTACCACATTTTTATTTTCTCCCATGGTATACACCTTATGCTAAGGGTTTTTTGTTGTTGTTGTTATGTGCCGTGGAGTCAGACCTGACTCATAGCGACTCCTCCTTGGGTTTCCGAGGCAGCATCACTACGGAAGTAGATTGCCCAACCTTCCTTCTGAGGAGTGGCTGGTGGGTTTGAACTGCCAGCCTTCTGGTTAGCAGTCAAGTGCATTAGGCACTACGCTACCAGAACTTCTTTGCTAAGGGTGGCTGGGTCCAAATGAACTCTCCTAACAGCCTCCAAACCAGTAAGAATACTATAACTCTCCTTTAATATTTAAGGTCTTTACACTGCCTCACATTTTCTTCAGTTATGTGAGTCTCCTTGGGGTCCCTAATGACCTTTTCTATATATTCTCAGAATGCTCAATGTATCAGAAATATTTGTATATGAGTAAACCTCACAAATTTAAACCTTGGGTATGGTTTGCATATTTTCCCAAGAGTCTTTACAGACTCTTTCTACAGCAGCAGAAGTGACGGATAGTGGAGGAGGTATGACCACATATACTAGCCAAAGCATCTGGGTCCCATCTCCCACCCCAACTAATTACACTGCTCAGCTCCCATGTGTGCTGAAGGGAATCTTAGAGAAAAATAATTCAATGGTTTCATTTAAATTTGAGAAAACTGGAGTAAAATAAAACGGCTTGCCCAAGGCACATGGTTGGCTAGGGAGATGTGAAGAGGCACTTAAATAAGTCACATAGACACAAACTAAGGGATTATCAGTGGCCAGTGGAAGGAGAGGAATGGAAAGTTGGAAAAGAGAAAAATAAGACCAGAGAGAAAGTAGTTTAAAGAATAAAACAAAGTGTGTTTAAAGAAAAATCTTTACGCCTCTGTCTCTGTATCTCCCTCCTTCCCTCCCTATGTATCTATCTACCTACTTATCTCTAGTTATCTTCAGGCTATGATCAAAGGGCTCTGTTCTCTTGAAGAGCCACTCCGTGTCTTCTTTAATTCCTCTCTTTTTGCGTTGTAGAATTATTCAACTCACCTCCTCTCTAAACTAAATAAAAATCTCTCAACATACACTGAGACAATAATATTAACTTAGAGCTCACTGTGGTTAGTAGAGCAGAACACCAAATCACAGAGACAGGCAGGCCTCTTGTGAGATCAAGACTAGAATTATCATGTTGGCTCCTCTACTGTGTAGAGAAGTGACTGACCTCAGGCAAGTTGTTTTGTCTTGCATGTCTCTTTCCCATCTATATAATGTGGCTAACTCCATAAGCCCTCATCCCTTCCACAGAAATGTTGCTACACTCACCATGGGTATGAAATAGCTAATGCTTCAGTTTCTTAGGCGTTATGAGAGAATACCCAAAGAAAAGAGGACGTGAGTGGTGAGAATCTGGATGATGACTGTTTTCTTTATTGTATACATGCTAGATTTTAATAATCAGAAAATAAAGAGAAACAGTCTGGTCTTACAGAATTTGAGGTGATGAGCATTCTCCTTCCAAGGTCAATACTTAATAGATTAACCCAAACCAAGCCCATTCCCATTGAGTTGATTCCAATTTATAGACCCTGTGCAGAGCAGAGCTGGCCCATAGGGTTTCCGAGGCCATAACCTTTATGGAAGCAAACTGTCACATCTTTCTTTCGAGGAGCAACCGGTAGGTTCAAACTACTGACCGTTTGGTTAGCAGCTGGGTACTTAACACTAGGGCTCCCTAATGAATAGATACAGAGATTAAAAAAAATATCTGGTAAATGCTAGTAAAGAAATATTGAAGCATATAGCTAGAACTTGAGGAAATCATGCTTCCTAATATACTCCCACATACCCATCCCCAAAAGTCTTTCAGACCTGCAAAGCAGACACTCACCCTACTAGGTGCATGGTAGTGGCCTGTCTCATTCTCCTTGAGTGAAGAAGGTCCTATTAACAAAGAGAATATGTCACAAGGACATCCAAACTATCACATAGTAAGTCCACACAACAGCAAACCATTGGATTCCTATATTAGTTTTCTAGGGCTACCATAACAAAACTTACTGCCATGGAGTCAATTCCAACTCACAGCACCCCTAGAGGACAGAGTAACTATCCCATAAGATTTCTAAGCCATAAATCTTTATGGAATCAGACTTTCTGCCACGGAAGGACTGGTGAATTCAAACCACAGACCTTTTGGTTAGCAGCCAAATGCCTTAGCCACTGTGCTACCAGAGCTCAAGCTCAAGCATAACAAGGATTTTGAGGGTGGCTCGGGACCAGGCAGTGTTTGTTCTGTTGTATGTAGGGTCACTGTGAATTGGAGCCGACTGGATGGCACCTAACAACGGTAACCATAACAAAGGACCACACCACAAACTGGGGGTAAGAACAGGAATTTAGTATCTCACACTTCTGGAGCCTAGGAGTCTGAATTCAGGACACCAGTTGCAATGATTACTTCTGATGGCTCTGAGGGCGAATCTGTTCAGCACTTCTCTCCAGGTTCTGCCGATGCCTGCAAGGCTCAGCGTTCCAGTCTCTCACTCCATCTTCACGTGACCGTGCTCCCTGTGTGTGTATCTCAGTTCCTCTTCTTTCATAAACTTGCCTCACCTTGGATTAAGACCTACCCTGCTCCAGTATGAATTCATGTTATTTAATTAAATCTGCAAGGACCTTATTTCCAAACAAGGTCACATTTACAAGTACTAGGGATTAACTCTCAACTCTCACTGCCCTTGAGTTGGATCCGACTCATAGCGACCCCTCCTTGGGTTTCTGAGGCAGTATCTCTATGGAAGTAGACTGCCAACCTTCCTTCTGAGGAGTGGCTGGGGGGGTTGAACCGCCAGCCTTGTGGTTAACAGTCAAGTGCCTTAGACACTATGCCACCAGAGCTCCCACTGGGGATTAGGACTTCAGCATATCTTTTGGGGGGACACAAAAACCCTGATCATCACCATCGAGCTAAACAGGCAAATACATTCCTCCCTTTGTGGAGTTGTTGTTGTTGTTATTTGCCGTGGAGAGGGGCCCAGAAAAAGACCTCCTTCAAAGGTAGAAGTGAACCTATCCCCCAGGATCAGCTTGCAGCCAAACAGACAGGCCTAGAAAGTGAACAATAACACTCATGAGGAAGGAACTCCTAAGAACAATCAACCACAGGAGACCAAAGGGCAGTATTTGTCCCTAAGCAAAGCTCATAAGGCAGGAAAAGGCAGGAAAGAAGGACGAATGGATGTGGGGAAATCCAGGGAGGAAGCAGGAAGAGCACTGCTACATTGAGGATATTGTAACCAATGTCACAAAACAAAATGTGCATAACTTGTTGAATGGAAAACTAATTTGCTTTGCAAACTTTCACCCAAACTACAATTAAAAAAAAAAAAAAGCAAAGCTTCTTCCTCTTACCTCAGACAGGCTGGAAATTTCTATTCATTTGTCCAGGAAGAATATGGAGTAAGGAAGAGACTGCTTTCCCCACAAGTCTCCACCCTCCAAGAAAGTCCTCCTAGTGACTCTGGCAAGATGAACGACATGGCCGTTAGCAGGTGGTGGGCTGCTTCCAGCTTTGCTCATTGCAGCTGCCTGAGTGCAGCACCAAGTGGAAGGCAGACAACAGTGGCGTGCAGGCAGTGGAAATGGAGGGTGGCTGCCTGAGGCTATGTTCACCAAGACAGGAGAAGTTGGAAGTGTAAAAGTCAAGAGGCAAAAAAAAAAAAAAAAAAAACCCTGAGATGTCTAGGGATTAACTACGTGGTTAACTGGGATCTGGGATTTGGAAATAAAGTGGATCTTTTATTCTTTTGATAGATAAGAGGGCTGAATCTTCACAATATCCAGGAGGAAGCAGCTGCATATATTGGCAACCATTTACAGGAAAAGAGTGAATATGTGGACTATTACTGCAAAAATATAAAGGAGGAATTTGATTAGACAGCCAAGAAAAGAGTAAGGCGTGGAGAACAGCAGATTTAGGAGGTTTCCATATGATGTGGCATCCCAGGGTGGTGCCAACAGTTAACTTGCATAGCTGGTTACCCAAGGGTTGGGAGTTTAAGTCCACCCTGAGGCTGAGGTGCCTCAGAAGAAAGACCTGGCAATCTATTTCCAAAAATCAGCTTTTTTTTTTTTTTTCCAACTTTTTAATTGTGATTTGGGTGAAGGTTTATAAAGCAAATGAGTTTTCAATTCAACTGTTTATACTCACTTTGTTTCTTGTCACAGATTGCAATCTCCACAATGCAGCATCACTCATCCCATTTCCTCTCTGTGTTTTCCATTTCCATTCCTCCTTCTTTCCTAACCCTTTGCCTTCTAAACTTTGTCCTTGGGCAAATGCTGCTCCTTTGATAGCAAATGGTTGATTATTCTAAGGAGTGTGTACCTCTCTAGTGTTACTGCTCACCTTAAGATCTGTCTACAGTTGGCTAAAAATTGAGCCACAGGGGTGAGTTCATTGAAAACAATG